TTAGTAGCATCATGTGGCTCATTTGGTAAGAATTCTTGTGCAATAATAAGGGTATCATAATTGATCTTTAGAGTTGCATATTCATCTTTTAGCTTATTGTGACTAGTGATAAGCTCATTGTGCACCCACTCAAGTTTATCATTTTTATCTTTAAGCTCTTTCTTAGAAGATTTGAGCTCCTTGAGTTTGGATGATATAGAATCATTTGTTTCTTTGAGCTCATCATTAGCCTTTTCTAATGTATCACACTTAGCTAAGAGTGAATCATTTTTAGCATCAAGTTTTTTATTTGTAGCTCTACTCTTTCTAATGATCTTAGTATATTTTCTTAGTATTTTGACAAGATCATCATAAGTAGGTGAGTCATCATCATCGCTATCACTATCATCATCACTAGCATGTTCATCATCACTACTATCATCACTCTTAGTTACCTTGCGTTCGCCTTTGGCCATAAGGCATAGGTGTGTAGATGATGATGGCGATGGTGGTGGTGAAGATGCAAGATCAATAGCAATGGCGGCCACCTTTTCATCGTCACTATCATCATTGGATGATCCACTTGATGAATCAATGTCCGTGAGCCAATCACCGACAATATAGGCCTTGCCACTCTTCTTCTTCTTGTAGAACTCCCTCTTTTTGCCATCTCTCTTCTTGTATGGCTTGTTCTTCTTCTTTTCATCTTCATCACTTGAATCATCTTTCTTGCCCTTGTTCTTGAACTTGTCTTTCTTAGGCTTTGTGCATTGATGAGCTAGATGACCAAGTTCGCCACAATTGTAGCAATCCATCTCGGAGATTGGCTTTCTTCTTGAGCTAGTGAAGAACTTCTTCTTCTTCTTGCCGTCGAACTTGATGCCACTCTTGTTTAGCCTTTTTAGCATCTTGGTGGTCTTCTTCACCATGAGGGCAAGGCTTTCTTCATCATCTTCATCACTTGAGCTCTCATACTCAAGTCTTGCTTTGCCCTTGTCTTGGCTAGCTTTGAATGCTAAGTCCTTCTCTTTCTTCTTTGTAGAGGATGAGCCATCTTGTGGTGTGATGTGCATGTACATCTCATGAGCATTGATCTTTCCCAAGATTTGTGTCGGTGTAGCGGCGGAAAGATCACCTTGATGTATACACGGTCACAATGTGCCCATATTTGTCAATGGGGAGGACACTCAAGATTTTTCTCACAGCGTCGGATGGTGACATTTGAGTGAGTCCAAGCCCATTGACTTCCTCTACAAGAACATTTAATCGAGAATACATCTCATTAGCACTTTCTTTGGGAAACATCTCAAAAGAATTTAGCTTTTTAATCACAAGATGATAGCGTTCCTCACGCTCACTCTTGGTTCCCTCATGGAGCGCACAAACGTCCGACCATAGTGCATGGGTGTCTTTGTGGTTCCTTACACGATTGAACACATCTTTGCAAAGGCCTCTAAAGATGGTGTTGCGAGCCTTTGCATTCCATTTTTCATAATTCACTTCATCGCCTTGAAGTTGTGCGGCATTCCTAGGTGCTGGGAACCCTTGAGAGGCGGCTCTAAGAATTCCAACATCTAGAGCTTCTAAGTAAGCCTCCATGCGAATTTTCCAATATGGAAAATCATCTCCCTCAAAGATAGGAGGAGGTCCATCCCCGTGAGACATCTTGCTCTAAGCGATTAAGCTTAAAAACGTGAGCACGAGGCTCTGATACCAATTGAAAGGATCAAGATGCCCAAGAGGGGGGGGGTGAATTGGGCTAATTTTAAATTTTCTTGCAATAATCAAATCCTACGGATAGCCCAATTAACCCCTTGTGCCTAAAAAGTGTTTATATCAAACTAATGCACAACAACCTCGCAACCAATGTTCCAAACTTACTCTAGCAAGCAATTCTATGGATGTAAGACAAGTATTGAAATGCTCAAAGTAAATACTCAAAGTAAGTGCTCAACGTAAATAGAGAGAGAAAGGAACGCGGCGATGTTTTGCCGAGGTATCGGAGAGTCGCCACTCCCCACTAGTCCTTGTTGGAGCACCCCCTTGTTGGAGCACCCGCGCAAGGGTGTAGCTTCCCCTTGATCCGCGCAAGGATCAAGTGCTCTCTACGGGTTGATTCTTCGACACTCCGTCGCGGCGAATCACCCAAAACCGCTCACAACTTGAGTTGGGTCAACCACAAGCTCCGCCGGGTGAACACCAAACTCCCAATCACCACCAAGCCGTCTAGGTGATGGCGATCACCAAGAGTAACAAGCACGAACTCTCACTTGACCACGCGAAGCCTAATGAGAAGATGGATGCACACTTTGCTACTCTTGATTTGCTAGTGAGGCTACTCTCTTGGATTCTCAAATCACAAACACCTCACTAGGACCTTGCTCTTCTTGGCACTCACAAACGTGTTTCTCAGCTGTTGGAATGAGCAAAAGATACTCCACTCACGAGTGGACCTTCTATTTATAAGCCAGCCTGAAAAACGAACCGTTATGAGCTTCTGCGGGACGACCGGACGCTCCGATCGTGATGACCGGACGCTCCGGTCAGTTCAACCCGCGAACCAGTATTAAAGAGTCGACCGGACGCTGGCAGGGTCCGGTCTGCACTGACCGGACGCGTCCGGTCGCATAAAACCCTTACTGGAACCTTACTGGACTCGACCGGACGCTGAACCCTCAGGGTCCGGTCAGCACTGACCGGACGCGTCCGGTCACTCTTTCCCAAGTCTGGACCCTTACTGGAGTCGACCGGACGCTGGTCCTCAGCGTCCGGTCACATGACCTTCCAGCGTCCGGTCACATCAGACTTGTTCACCTCAGTCAAATGAACTGACCGGACCTGCGGTCGGGCGTCGGTCAAGACCGAGCCAGTGTCGTCCGGTCGGTGTTTGACCCTCCATTCACTTCCAACTTCCGAATATATGTGAATGAATTTTGCTCCAAAAGATCTTAGGCATTCATAGGAGCTACCTAGAGCTAGTTTAAACAAGTGTGCACCACACCTAACTCACTAGACTTAACTAGGTCAAGCTACCCGTTCATATACCCCCTTCATAGTAATGCGGCCAAAGGAAAAACAAAGTCCTAAACTACTCTAAGTGTCTCTCCAACTTCAATTGACACTTAGAACTAGTTATCCTTAACCTTGTCGTCCATCCTTTGAAAACCGAAACGATTTCCATCGTAGGGGCATGACAACCTCAATTGCCCAATCGATCTCCATTACCATGACCTAACTTAATTGCCTCTGCAAAACACACGTTAGTCATAGTAATCTTGTATTGACATCAATCACCGAAATCCAACTAGGGGCCTAGATGCTTTCAGCCACAACTCTGATCGTCGGGGTCGGGGCACTCTGTCGGTCTGGATGGCCTTTTCGTCGAGCCCCTTATCGTGGATCCCTATCCCGTAGTGGGTGGGATCGTACAAGCGTCTAGTCGGTCCATATTTAGACGATGGGTGTCGTACCCGTTGCCACCGTGGTGCGGTGTTGTCTCGTCGATGCGACATGGCACATGGATGGCGTCTGATCGGGCCGAGGTTAACGCTGTCCCCTTGGTCCTTGCGGGGTCAGTGTGTCGTGCTTGCTCTTGTTAGAGCAGGCGTGCTTAGCTGCGCTCGACCTCCCCCATCCCTTCCGGGGTTTGTGATGGGGAAATGTCATGCGTCTTGCAAGCGCCGTGTGCTAAGGAGGGTAGAAGGGGTTGGGGATGACCCCGGCCTTGGCGCCTGGCCTGCTCCGCTCGGCTTTCGCTGGGCCTCGGTCGTTTGGGCCTTTGTTAGCGGTTGTGTTGCGGGCCACGCTGCCTGCTAACTAATCGGTGCCTTGAAACAACCTAGGGTTACAACCCCGACAGGTGGCGAGCCAACCATTGGTATGCGTGGCCAGTCGCAACCAAGTCGGTTAGCATAGACTGCAGCCAACCCAACACAAATACCAACCCACTACAGACCACCGCTTGGAGCAGGAAAAGCACGCCACACCACTATCCATTCGGCCAAGCGTCGTAACCGAAACCTTATGTTGTACTTCACAAATGCTAGTAGTTGTGCATTGTTGCCACCAACGTAACCACTCTAACTCACCAAACATACGAGCCACCGCGACCCGCCAAACTGGCCATCGCTAAGTGAGACCAGTTGCCATGGCAACGGTTGTGGTGAGCTGCCACAGACCATTTGCCGCTGCCGCACCAAAGATGCACCTTTGCTTGACAAAAAAATTAGTACAACTATTAGTTCCACATGTTAAAACTAACGACTAGCTGTTTTTTTTTAAGTACAAGTTCACTAACTTTAACAAATTTTAATATCTAAAAAAAATTATCGGTCCCTGCATATGGATACTGTATTCTATTATATTTACCCCCGAAATGCGCCAAATTTTTTTTGAAACGGGAAATGTGCCAATTTGAGTGTTGAGGACGACGGGAAGAATGAAAAAGAAAAGACAGAGGAGCAAAAACCTTATCCCATCCAGCATCCGTGGTTTGACGGTCGACACGTGTCCCATCCACCTGGGCCCAGCATCGCGCCTACCTGAACCTTCCAGAAGGAATGGGCGTGAAAAAGGCAGCCTTCGCGCACTTTCCTCCGCCCGCCACCCTGCTACACCCTACCCCTGCCCACCGAGAACCAAATCCTGCGCTATCTCCGATCCCAGCCGTTCGTTCCACACCGGAGCCATATCTGACGGGTCGGGACAGCGCCGCAGCGAGATAATAGCGTCTGGGCCCACCATCTAGCAAGCTTTCGCTGGGTACGAGTGGTTTTTGTCGCAGTCCGGTTCACGAAGTGGGCCGGGTTTTTTCCTCGTGCTGCTGCTTACCTTTCTCACCGTCTCTCTCCTCCTTCCTGTCCTCCTCCCGTCAGTGGGAGTATAAAATTTCCTAATCCGCAATCGAAGCTTCCAGAAGGCTTCTTCTTCCCGACCTTCCACCCAACGCGACTCGCTCTTTCCCGCATCTGGAAGCTACGGTTTCGTCGGTTCAGATCCAGCCGGGCTACGGCGCTGGCCCGATGGCCGAGCAGGGCGGCGCCGCCGGGGAGGCCGCTGGCAGCGACCCCCCTGCGCCTGCGCCTGCCCCGGCGCCAGCGCTTGCTGCGGACGCGGCCGGGCAGAGGTCGCTGCCGACGCCGTTCCTGACCAAGACGCACCAGCTGGTGGACGACCCGGCGGTGGATGACGTGATCTCGTGGAACGAGGACGGGTCGACGTTCGTGGTGTGGCGGCCGGCGGAGTTCGCGCGCGACCTCCTCCCCAAGTATTTCAAGCACAACAACTTCTCCAGCTTCGTGCGGCAGCTCAACACCTACGTACGATACTGATGCTCGCTTGGCTTATTCCTCCATCGGGTTTGGGTTGGGCTTGGTTTGGCTCGGCATGGAGCTCCATGTCTGAGTGATGTGTTTGGATTTGCTTGGCTGTGACGTAGGGATTTAGGAAGATGGTGCCCGACCGGTGGGAGTTCGCCAACGACTTCTTCCGCCGTGGGGAGAAGCGCCTGCTCTGCGACATACACCGCCGGAAGGTAGCGCCGGCTCCGGCCACGCCAGTGGCGGGGCTGGCGACCGCCGCCGCCGCCGCGGCGTCCGGGGCGGTGACGGTGGCCGCGGCGCCGATCCCCATGGCGCTGCCGGTGACGCGGCCGGCCTCACCGGCGCTCTCTACCGACGAGCAGGTCCTCTCCTCGAACTCCGGATCCGCCGAGGACCACCCGCAGGCGGCCGCGTCCGGCTCCGCTGGCGCGTCGGCGTCCGGCGACACGGGCGAGGAGAACGAGCGCCTCCGCCGGGAGAACGCGCGGCTGACCCGCGAGCTCGGCCAGATGAAGAAGCTCTGCAACAACATCCTGCTCCTCATGACCAAGTATGCCTCCTCCCAGCAGCTGGACGCCTCCGCAGCGCTGTCCTCCGTCGTTAACTGCTCCGGAGAGTCGTCGGAGGCCGCACCCGCGCCTCCGCCCCTCCCCCGGGCGATCCTCGACCTAATGCCCGCGTGCCCGGGTCTTGCCACCGCGGCCGCGGGCCTCGTCGCCGAAGCGGACCCCGACCAGGCCGCGAGGCTGTTCGCCGCCTCCATCGGGCTGAAGCGGATGCGCGACGAAGACGACACCGGCGAGGAACAGGCGGACCACGGCGCCGGAGCGGAGGTGAAGACGGAGGCGTCGGATCCGCAACAACAACAGCATCCTAGCAGTAGCAACGAGCCGTCGCCGGACCAGCACCCGTGGCCGATATACCGGCCCACGCCCGTGTACCATTCGATGCGGCCCTGCAACGGGCCGGACCAGGGTGCCGGGTCCGACCAAGACGGGTCCAACTCCAGGTGAGTGGGCCCGCCCCACCTTGTAGAAGCGTCTAGTACCAATTAAACAATTGCCATATTATATGGGCAACTAATTATCATCTTAGAAACATTAATAATACTAGATTTTTTTTTTGTTTTTGCTTTGCTAGTTGGGGACTGAGAAACTCCTCTCCCTTGTTGTAGTCTGTGCTTATAAAATCAGCGGTCCGGCTCATGGGTCCATTCAAAAATACAGGTACTATCTGAATGATTTTAGTGGTGTAGATATGAACATATTATCTAGACAGGAGAAATTTAACTTCACTCATTTGAGCCTCCGCAATGTCGTCGAAAGGACATTTGGGGTTCTCAAAGCCTGTTGGCACATATTGCATGGGGTACCGTTCTGTTATAGGGAAAAGCAAAAGATGATTATTATGGTATGCTTTGCAATGCATAATTTTTTACGGAATCGTGAGATTGGAGTTAGTTCGCCTACATATTCGCCGTTGGATTGGGTTCAGATCAATGCTAATTGCACTATGTCCGCTGTGAGGGAGTACATATATGTGGCTCTCTGGGGACAATGATAAAACAAAGGTGATTAAAATTAAGATGCCAAGTACTTCAATTAAAGTTAGACGTCCCATGTATGTTGACGAACTGTGACTACCAGTTTGCCTCTGTTGATCTTTATTTCCTTCATGTTGATATCATATCAGATCATTCTGCATACATATTTTTACTGACCCGAAATTACATCAGAGCTTGTTTGTTCTTGTGCACATGTATCCCTCTTGTTAGTTCTGTAGTGTAAACTAGAACCTGAAGGTTACCTCTGTTGGTACTATATTTATTGATCACATGAAAAATTGCTGCCTCTAATAGTTTACTAGATATCTTTCCTTTGGTTCCATGCTTCTGTTTTGTCTTTCCATTAAGAATGGTTATTTTTTAGTTCCTAATACACATCCATCATTAACCCAGTGAGGTAGCTGTTTTTAATTCCTGATACGCGTACACTTTAGTTAGCTATGTTCACGCCCATCATATAATCTGTGTTGGGTGTGAAAGAATTCTGAATCCTTTGCCATTGACCACTCCTATCTGTTAGAACTATCAAATTTAGGCATGATGAGCATTAGAAGTTCAGGACATGTTTCGAATTGGCTTTGTTCTATTGATTATGTGTAACAACTTCGAGGATTCTGACAACAATCCATGCTCTGTTTCTTTGCAGCACACCAACGGATTCAGCAAGTGAAGAGTAAACCGAGAGAAATCCAATTAAAAATGCGAGCAGTTCATTTAACAAGAAGGCCACATGCAGGTCACCAAGGAATGAAGAGAATCATGTTTGTAAGGAATGAAGAGAATCATGTTTGTAAAGAAGTTGTCATTGTATATAAAGAAGTGTAATTTGAACTGTTGTATGTGACTGTATTCATAATGGCTTGTAGAGACCTGTTATGTGTACTGAACTGCTAGTTGACTAGCTTCTAATGGACTGTTAGTAGCCCATAACAACCTGTTATTTTAGCTGTTGTATTGAATTATGTTGTACTGTAATTTGAATGGCTCGTGGTTTGGCGCTATCAGTTGAATGGATGTTGTGTTGGCGCCATTTTTTTTTGAAATGAGCAAATGGCTTACATGGCTGATGTTTCGGCTGCTGGCTGCCAGCTGCAGCTGTTGGCTGGATGGAGCTGATTAGTTGGTTGGTTTTTCCTGTAGCAGCTGGTTTCCAGCGGCAGCCGATTACAGGCTGATAATACCAGCCGAACAGCCTGCATGATCGGCGGCTGTGTACTTTATTTTATATATGCTAGATGAATGCTCATCTCAATCGTTCATTGCTCATTTTTGTGGGTTTGCACGTCGGCAAATACGAGTGAGTGACCGCAGTTTCCCATGCGGGATCCTGCAACCGTGCCAATCAGACAACACGCTTGTACTAGATGGTACTCCCGCCGTAAAAAAAAATAGGAGTACACTTGTAGCATAGGGTTACCAAATTTATATTATATAAAAAATGCTAATATTTATTCAGCCTGTTCGCTTGTTGGTTTCAGCCAGCCCAAATCAGCCAACCAACAGTGTTTTTCTCTCACAAAAAACCAGCACCAGCCAGCCCAAACCAGCACCAGCCCCAACCAGCGAACAGGCCCATTATAGTAAATAAGTATTATTAGATTATATTTGTTATAGTAAAGTATTCAAAACCATATAAGTTGATACTCTCTCCAGCTCAAAATGAATGTTGCTATGGATTCAGGAGTTTGACGAGGTTTAGAAAATATGAGTGTTGCTATGTATTTAGGAGTTTGATGAGGTTTGTAGAAAATATTAGCTACATTTGTTTCTCCAGATAACTTTATTTTGTAGATATATTCAACTATTCATCTAGTAATGATACCAATTATCCACCATAAATATTAATGCCTTCTTATATATATTTAGTCAATGTTAAAAATATTTGAATTTTCGGAAAGTAAGAATGATGCTGGAAACGGAAGGAATACTATTTTTTATATAAATTTACTAAAGTTTAAAATAATTTAACTTTGATTAAATTTAGAATTGCATCATTTCTAGGAGTCCAGGACTGAGGTAGCAAACTATACTGGACTCTTAACTGTGAACTGTGATCAGATAAGCAGTGTGCGTCAATACATATAGAGGGATAACAACTACTCAGCATTTCCATGAGCTACTGTACATGTAAAGCTGCAAACGTCATTGCCAACAAGAAAGCAAGCTTTTATCTTTTCTTTTTGGATAAATAAAGTAGAAGGCCAGCAGCCAGCATTGTTCTGGACTCCTTGAAGTGTTGTGTGCATGCTGCAGAGGATTAGATAGGGACGCGTCATCCAGTCAACTCGTTGTAGCGTCAGGCGAAATGCTTTGACCTTTCTCGACTGTTTGCCTGATGCTTTCTTTTTTTTCTTTCCTGAACGCCATCGAGCGCTTGCATGTGCAATAGTCCCTTTTGGAATCGTAGGGCAGTCCCGTCTTAATCTCCAATAACAACACCTAAAATACAAGACATATTCGTTATTTAGGTAGCGCTACAGATAAAAGATTCAATACATATTCGACATCTTCTTCAACCACAAGACTCAAAAGAAAATCCTTTCTGCAAATGGATTTTCAGAAGAGAGGATATTCATATTTGGGTTGTGCCTCTCAGACAACCAAAAATAGGTCTCCCGTATAGGTATTCTGTTGGAGACTAATTTTAGGTCTCTTGCTATCTATTTTGAATTTAGATGTCCATATAGATTCTTTGTTGGTGACGGTCTTACACTAAAAAATTACTAAGCCTATCATCTGCGTCGCCCCACTCTACGGCCACGTTCGGATCGAAAAATGAAACTCCGATTTGGTGCATGAAAGGAAACGGAAGCGGGGTCCGCACAACCTGTTCGTCAGGCGTAAATCATCATGAATTATTTACTGCTAACTGATTTGATATGAGAGAAATTTATTTTAATTTATAATCTACAATCGTTTACGAGCCAGCGAACATGCTCCGGGTCGGCTGCACGAAAGGAAACGGAAGCGGCGTCCGCACAGTTTAATTCCAAAAGCCAAAAGCACGCGCGGGATCAGTTTAGTTTCCAAAGCAAGCGCGTACCCAAGCCAACGTAAAATATTCGGAGTTGCTTGCTGGTTGAACGGACGATTGCATGGACGCGGTGCTCAGTACGGGCTGGCGGCGAACGCGGCGCTCGACAAAGTGCTCGCCGTGTGCGCTCCGCTTCACCGCGCGCCTTAGCTCCAGCCTGCATCGGCGACGGCAGGCACCTGCGACCTGCTGTCGTGAGTAGTCTCACTGCGTACGCGGGATTGATACCATTGTGAGATTTTCTTTTAGTCATATTCATCAGATCGGAATATTTTGCATAGGAATATAATACATGTTCAAGATTTACGTGAGAGGCAGAGAGAAAGGGGAATGAGAGGTAGCAGACCATCGAAGGCCGTAGTGGTCGAAGCACCGGCCGGGGTCTCGTTGGCGGACGCCATCTGTGCGCCGGCAGCGATGTTGATGGAGAGGGAGAGTCGGTGCAGTGGCGTCCTCGGCGGCGGCGTGTGCGTCGGGGTGGCGTTGCCGGCGTCGGTGGTGCTTCCCGTCGTTGGCAGCGCCCCTTCTCAAGATCGGGTTAGGATGTCGGTGGGGTGACTGGCGGCGCGGTGAACCTCGTACTATGAGCCCCGGCCCCCACATTTCCTTTATAACGTTGTGCGACGGGGACCCACCAACCATGTAGGATTGAGCGTCCCCGATCAGGGCGCGAGAACAAGACCCAAAAAAGCCGTTGGGCCTAACTAGTGGGAGATCAAACCTAACACGCACGTCTCTCCATGGACGCGGTGCCGCAGTACGTGCTGGCAGCAAACGTGGCGCTCTGCGAAGTGCTCGCCGTGTGCGCTCCACTTCACCGCACGCCCTAGCTCCAGCCTGCATCGGCGGCATCGGGCAACTGCGACCTGCTAACGTACGTGCATAGTCTCAGCGCGTACGCGGGAGCGGCTCGCCATGGATGCGGTGCTGTAGTACGGGCTGGCGGCGAACGCAGTGCTCTGCGAAGTGCTCGCTGTGTGGTCCCTGCGCCCTGCGAGCGCGCCCTAGCTCCAGCATGTGCCGGCGGCAGCGGGCACCTATCAACGCTCGCCCGTGCGCATGTGCCCGCGCGTCTACGCCCCGCTCGCCTCGTGCGCCTGTGCCTGCGCGTTTGCTGCACCCCGCTCGCCCTCGTGCGAGAGCAGGAACGAATGACAGAACGGACAGACCTCCGTTTCGTAGTGATTAGCGTCGTACCTGCACGTAACAGATCGGTCTACCACGTCCTCGTAGAAGAAGGAAAACTTGGATGAATTTATCAATACTTTAGGGTTCCTAATGCAAAAGTGAATATTATATTTTTAATGATTTTTGAAAACATATAATAATAAGTCACACAAATACTAATTACAAAAATAAAACTAATTTTGTTAGGTTCTTATAAACAAGATCTACACGATACATGTCATAAAGATCATGAAATATGCTTTATGTATGTTCGTCCAAAAGTCAAGCCACATGCAGCATCGTAGACATGAATAAATTTTTTTAAATATGCTCGTCTAAACAATAAACCACCACGCACGTGGATAAAAATTTGTTGCCCCATGCAACGTACGGGCATATATCTTGTAAAATTAAAATTATGAATAGTTTTCATAATCATAAGTCTAATCATAATATTAAATGCTATATAAAAATTTAACGTGACGTTAGATTTATCAAGGAGACAAGAAATAAACGGAGAAACCTTTTCTGGGTGGGAAAGAATTTCCAAGCTTCCTCCAGCGACGCAAGAAACTCGCGCGTCTGCACTGCACGTTGAGGGCCTGGCCGCCTGGGTGGTTTCTTTCCACAGATTTTTACGGGCCCACCTACATTCTCACCGCTCCGTCACCGTCTTCCTCGCCGCGAGGCGCCTGGCCAACATTTGCGACCGCCTGCCGCCCGGCCCGTATCGCCGTTGGCCGAGTAGCACGCGCCGTCAGCTGCGTGGCCGCGCGCTAAGCTTCATCATCGACGGCCGCGTCCTCATGAGAACGCCCTGGCCAACGCCGAGGCCGTGTTGTGTAGTTTTAGGTTAGGATTGTCAATTACCATAACTAAAATTCACTCGAGTTTTGGGGACAGTCTAGGGACGTTCTGTGCAACGCATGTTTGTTTTTTATTAATTCGAATCAATCCCGAAGTCACACTGTGAATGTCTGATGTTTCATGTTGGTATATGTATATGTGCTGTTGTGCTGGGATGAGATCAGTAAGGGCGTGTTCGACAAGGTGGTCCAGCAGCATGTGGCCTGCAACTACCGTGTTTGGTATGCTTGGCCAACTCCCCAGCCGCTGCTCAAAGCACCCAAATGGGTGCCTGCCAGAAAACGAAATGGAAGTCTTTTTTTTTCATGGCCTGGCCTGGTGGAGCGAGATGGAGCCAGTGGTGAGCGAGCGGGTCACCTCCCGGCCTCTCACCTCTCACCTCAACGCGCCCCGCACTCGCTCGACGTGCCGCTCTCCCTCGCCGTCTCCCCCGACAGCTCCATCTCCGTCGAGCTCTCCCACCCGTCCCGCCTGCAGCCCGTCCTGCTCCGCCTCTCCAAGCTGCCCCCGCACGCGCTATGGCTCCGGATCGATGAGGACTACTCTACCGCCACTCCGCCGCACCGCCGATTCCACATCCCCGATGCCCTCCTCCTTGACCT